TTATAGATTGCAGATGTTTGGTCTTGTGGAGTCACCTTATATGTGATGATAGTTGGAGCATATCCCTTTGAAGATCCTGAAGACCCTAGAAACTTTAGAAAAACAATTGGGGTAAGTGACATCAGCAAATTTTTCATCGATAAAATGGAACAGAAATCAAACATCGTATATATCAAAACTTGCTAATTCGTTTTTGAGTTGTCATTAACACACTATATGTGTCGTATTGCAGCGGATTCTTAGTGTGCAGTACGCAGTTCCAGATTATGTCCGAGTTTCAATTGAATGTAGACATCTCTTATCTCGTATCTTTGTAGAAAACCCCGAAAAGGTAACGTAGTTTTTAATTTGGTGCTGAAAGTACTAGATGACTAGTGTTTTGATAATCTTGTAACCTATTTGGTAGCAGCATGAAGAGTTTCCTTGAAGTTTGTTTTTCCTTCAAATTATTGCAAATATCTGGTTTTCGTTACACGTTTCATTTTGAAATTGATCTGTTCGGCTTAGCCTTCTCACCACAGTCTCTGCTTAATATCTCTTTGCAGAGAATAACCATCCCAGAAATCAAAAACCACCCTTGGTTTCTAAAGAACTTACCTGTGGAAATGATGGAAGGAGGAAGTTGGCAGTGCAACGACATAAATAATCCATCGCAAAGCGTTGAAGAAGTGCTGTCCATAATACAAGAGGCAAGAAAACCAATAAGCGTCCCGAATGCCAGTAGGCCTCTCATCGGAAGCAGCAGCATGGATGTTGATGATTTTGAAGATGTTGAAGATATTGAAACAAGTGGTGATTTTGTGTTGCCAAATGGGAGTAATTAGAGTATAGATACATATCATACTAGTGAATTTGTGAGTGTTGGGATGTTGTTAGGCTTTTGGGGGCCTTCTTGTGATGTGATATGATACATGACCCTTGATGTATGTATCATTTTGGGTTTACTCTTGTTGTAAGGTTCTCTCTTTTTAGAGGAAAAAAAAAAAAAAAAGGCATCACTTTTTTGTGTATGACGTGTTCACTTATCTGGAGCCAAAATTGGGGAATAATGGAATAGAGGACTTAAAATCCGAATTCTCATTGGAGTTGTTTACTAAACGATCTAGAACGGAGCAAGCCTGGTATTGATTCTAGAAAAGTTATTTGCTAATTTACTAGTTCAATTATTTTTTATGCTAATGGGTTAATGTTTGTTGAGTTATAGTGAATGGACAAACTTGAATTTAAGATATCATGTGAGGACACAATGGCTAAAAATAATAAAATTTTGCAATTTTTCTTCGAGAGTACAAATCACGAGTGGTTCGGAAAATTAACGGTTAAGCTTTGCATATAGGGGTTAATGGATCTTCAACAGTTAGATGTTGCATAAAACATGTACTATTAAGTGAGACGTATCATTGTAGCTGAACTTGAAATTTTGATGTGTTTTTTTGTTCTGAAGCCATAATACCACTAAAATTATGTTTGTGTGAGAATTTTTTTTTATATGAGTTTGATCATAATTTTTAATCCTTGGAGAGTGAAAAAAAAAAAAAAACTAATATTTCCTAGTTCTAATTACGATAAAGTAAAAAAGGAAATGTATCTTACGATGAGGAAAGCTTGGCTTCTTAAAATTGAGGAGTTTGTTCTCAAAATATTTTGTAACTAGTTCACGAAATTTCGTGCTTATGATCATAACTGTTCAAAGTAAGATCATTTAGTCAAGTAACCATAGGAAATAGATAGACAGTTGGTAATATGTTTACCATTATTCGACCATTTGTTCTTGCACAATTTGTTGATTAAATAATCTCATATTTTATTAATTGTTTACACAAATGATCATTACAAAGTAATTACAATCTCATATTTTATTGATTGTTTACACAAATGATTTTTACAGAGTGCATTATAAGAACAGTATCGATCATAAACACGAAGTTTCGTGAATCAAAAATAAAATATCTTGAGGAGGAACTCCTTTCATCCATCCATTGAGGAACGTATCTTACTAATTACAATTATTTACGATTAATACAATTCCTCTAAATCGAAAGATTAAATTCCTCATTTAGTATGGGTCCAAACAAACACAAATAGTTCGCAATCGGAATCTTTCTTGTCAAATCATTTTCTTATGGTGATTTCTTGTCAAGGCTTAAAACAATACGAAAGTTCTAGGAAAGTTACTCCTTTACTAAAAAGGTAAAATAATGGGAAAGTTAATGTGTGCAACCATTACAAACTATGCCAAAACCTCTATATAAAGAAGTGAGGGAAGCCATTAAACCACATTGAGAAGTTTTCCATCACCCAATTTTCGTGATTTTAAGGAGATTGGTGTAAGTCCTTTCTTTGTTGCCAACTCCTTGATTTAAGGAGATTAGCGTATGGTCTCTAGACTCCTTGATTTAAGGAGATTGAGGTATGTTGACGTATGACTACCAGACTAGCCTTTGTGGGATGTTTCAAGGAGTTTTCTTGGATGTCTTCGTGCACTGCAATGTGCACCCAATCCTTCTCCTTAAATACCTCCTCCTCTTTTTTGTAACCTTATGATTTTACTTTGCAATACAAAATAGAACTACACTTAAAAGTCAATAGTTTGTGCTCGCACCCGTAGAGGCTCGTAACAAGAAGTAATCTTCTACTTTGGGGCGATTTAGCCAGGTATACTCTAAACTCGATTGCATGAAGTTTATATATGTCTACTGATCATGTTTATAGAATATGAAAGGAGATTCGAAGTTTAATCGTGAATTTTGATGATAGATTTCACATTTGGTAAGATTTGACTATAATACTTACAAATACTTAATAATATCATTATCAGACAATCAGATATACTGTAATGACATTCAAAGACCGTATACGTATACTAGCCGTAAGATTTCTTCTTCTTTTGAAAACCAAAGGGCTGGTCAATAAGAGAAGTCCTCTGCCTTTTCAATTATTAAGAGACAACCAACCCACATTGCATTAATATTATCAACAAGTTGAAGCTGACAAGGTCCAATTATTGACGTGGTCCTTTGCTCTATTCTGTATACAAATTTGAACAGAAAACTTAACACATGTTACGCGCTTATCACGTGGTGAGAAAACTGGCGTGTGCTTTTATTTATTATGTTAAATTTTAATTACTTGTCTTGATAGGAAAATTTTTAACTACTTCTTTACCTTATTATATTTGCTTTTTAAGACAAAATTCTTCTCACGATGAGTTATGCTATAGTCAATTGCGATTTTAAAAATGTGTTATGATCCTTTATAATTTCTAACTATTGATGCGCGAATGATCAGAAATCTTCTTGGTCGACTTGATGTTAGCAAAACGCAAATTTTCATATTTAATTAGATTACTGAAAAGTTTTTAAGATGACTGTTACGTAGTATTATCAATTCATTTACGTTATATAACATATAGGTCTAAATTTTTAACATATTGTTGTTTGCCTTGTACGGGCATGCCTATAACGAATTTCAAGCATGATTAAATTGCACGTTAAATTGCCAAATTGCCTGTGATGGATTTTATATATTGAATGCTAAATTAAATTAAGGGTAATTTCTAACTTACTATTCTTAAGTTTCCGAAAATTTTACTTTAGCTATAAAAGTGAGACAAAAAAATAGTTAATTACATTAGCTCCTTAAATTTGAGGTCGATTTCAACTTCTTACAATATCTTTAAAACATTTTAATTTTATACATTTACTTATCATTTTGTTTTAATTTTATACATCAGTTAGAAAATTCGTTAAGTAAATCCCCAAAAAAACCCAGATTATTTTCAAAACAGTAGGGTGGCACTTCCCCAAACGTCCTACAAAACAGTCAAACCATCTGAAAAATATCAGATCGGAATTCCAAACTGGCCGATAATCGATAATCCGACACTCAACCGGCTCGATCGGAGCCGATTTTCCGGCGGATCGACATTCGAACAAAAAACAACAGAAATCGAAATCGGAAAACGGTGCCGTTTCGGTCTGCGAGAGAGACTGTACCTTCAAAGCTTATTGTTGGTTGGTGAGTTAAATGTAAATCCTAGTAGCAGCAGTGATGGAGTGGCACGGGGAGAGCACAAAACCCCAAAAAACCCAGATTATTTGTACCCAAAATCCAGATTTTTTGGTTGCGGGGGAGGTGGGGGTGGGTTTTTTGGATGGGGAGGGGAGGTGAAGAGAGTGGAGGAGAGGGAGAAGGTGTGAGGGAAGATGGGTTTCATCTTTTTTAAATTTTTTAATAGGATAAATTATTATATTTTAAATGCATAATTTTTTTTTTTTTTTTTGTCATTGGCACAAATTTGTCAACTACGTCAGCACAAATGTAGATCTCATAATTGCCACGTCATCACTTAACAGATTTTCTAATAGAGGTATGAAATTGAAATAAAATGATAAGTAAATGTATGAAAGTATAATGTTTTAAAGATGTTGTAAGAAATTGAAATCGACCTCAAACTTAAAAAGGTAAAATGTAATTTACCCCCAAAAAAAGTGTATTATTGTACTATTTTTATGAAACTTGAGGACAGTAAAAGAAAATACATTAAAATTTTATCCAAGTTCGTACTTGTACCTCGTTTGTAAGTAATTTTAAATTAAATAAAAATATGTTTGATGGAAATGTTTTTAAATTTCAAAAGTATTTGAAATGGTTTCGGTTGTATTATTTATGACTATGCTTGTTTGTAAGTAATTTTAAATTAAATAAAAATATGTTTGGTGGAAATGTTTTTGGATTTTAAAAGTATTTCAAATGGTTCCGGTAAAAAGCACTAGCTATGAACTTCTCAAAAAGGACTTCAAATAATTTTTCAAGATTTATTATTTCCTGCTCCATAACCTACTTCTCAATGCAATATGATCCTATTCGGATTCTCTTTCTCAGCATTCTGAAGATCACTTTATCGTATCCATTCATCTGTTATTTTACGATCATAAATTATTTTAAAGTTTTTATTCAATATTAAACGCAACTTGACGGAAAATTTATTGCACGACAAGTAAAATGATTCTGGGTCCTCACAAACGGGACTCTTCCCAGCTACGGAGCTCCCCTTTATTTGTCCGATTAAGATTTGTTTCAACTTTCAATCCACTGTCCGTTACTTCTCAGCTACCTTTCCTTCTCACAGATTAAATACGTTTGAAATTTCAATCCTATCCACTCTCCATTCCAAACTTTTCAATCTTATCAATTAACGTCCCTTTATTTGGCGGATCAGCTCTTTATGATATCTCGGTATTTTCCAATTTAATCCCACAATTCTAAAACTTGGTCTGAAAATTTCTTCAATCGTAGTTGCTGAACAACATGGCCTCTGTGACCATACCGCCGGTGCTTACAACCCCCAGAGACGACGCAATCAGCCTCCACCGCGCCTTCAAAGGGTTGGGCTGCGACACATCCGCCGTCATCAACATCCTCGCCCACCGCAACGCCACCCAGCGAGCCTACATCCAACAGGAGTACAAAACCATGTACCACGAGGACCTCACCAAGCGCCTCTCCTCCGAGCTCAGCGGCAACACCAAGAAGGCCGTACTCCTCTGGATGCACGACCCCCCAACCCGCGACGCCACCATCATCCGCCAGGCTCTGGCCGCAGAAGGCATCGTGGACCTCAGAGCCGCCACCGAAGTCATCTGCTCAAGAACCCCATCTCAGATCCTCCACTTCAAGAATCTCTACTTCTCCACATTTGGGGTTTACCTCGAACAGGACATCGAGTTCCACGCCACCGGAGACCATAAAAAGCTCCTGCTTGCTTACGTGGCAACGCCGCGGTACGAGGGTTTGGAGGTGGACAGGGCGGCGGCGGAGCATGACGCTAAGGCTCTCTTCCGGGCCGGGGAAAAGAAACTGGGAACTGATGAGAAGGTGTTTGTGCAGATATTCAGCGGGCGGAGCAGCGCCCACTTGGCTGCCGTGAGCGCCGCCTACCACAACATGTACGGTAGCTCGTTGAAGAAGGCTGTGAAGAAGGAGACTTCTGGGAACTTTGAGCACGCACTTTTGACCATTCTGCAGTGCGCCGAGCATCCCGGGAGGTACTTTGCGAAGGTTTTGCACGGGGCGATGAAGGGTTTGGGGACCGATGACAGTACTCTGCTGAGGGTGATCGTTTCGAGGGCGGAAATCGATATGCAGTTTATAAAGGCGGAGTATATGAAGAAGTACGGGAAGACGTTGAACGATGCTGTGCATTCGGAGACTTCTGGGAATTACAGGGCGTTTCTGCTGGCGCTTTTAGGCCCCAATCATTAGGTAATATAAAAAGATTTGGGGAACATGGTAAGGTTTGATGAACTCTGTGGTTGTTAATTACTTACGTTTTAGGTATTTTCAGAAGCTATAATTTGGGAAAGTTATGTGTTGAGCATGATCTAGAACTTTGGCATAAGCACTTATGCAGCAAGTGATTTCTTTGTTTGAAATGCTTAGTACTGCTTCTTGGCTGATGATTGCGTATGGAGCTCCAACAATTTCTCAATGTTGCTTTTGTGTGTGTAGGTTTGATTTGCAATGATTTGGTACAAAAAATGGACACCATATGCGTTTGTTATGGTGGTGAATGTGGTTTTTGAGTGCTTGTCAAGTTTGATTATCCTTCCAGTGTTATATTTTGTCACCTGGTTAATCCGAACACGATCCAATTAGAAAACGGACTGGATCGTTATAGAGTCATCTGATACGATTAATTAAATAAGTTGGATTAGGAAACAAATTGAAAATTTCTTGTTTAGAACCTGTTTGAATTGCATGAATTATGAGAGTCCTTGAGAAGAAGAACCCCTTCGGTTCTAGGGTTTCCCCATTGGCGTCCGCCGGAAGAAGGAATCTTGATTGGTCCTTGAGAGACTAGCTGTAGTTCATATCCTGCTCATTGTTTTGTGCAATGTGTTTGTTGAAACATTTGATCTCTGCTTCTTGCTGAACCTTCATATTTGGGGGTTGCATTGTGCACACCATAATTTATTTGTCTTTTTTTTTTTTTTTTTTTTATACAACTACCCGCAAAAGTCAAAGTCGTCTTTGATTTATTCAAGTTTAGTAATATTCTTCTTTACTTGTAAGTGTAATGTTATAGGTTTGATTTTTTGCCAAAAACGAATTTGAACCATATTATTAGAGGATAGACAATTGTCTTTAGTAACCCTCTCACAAAGCCACTATCCCTTCTCGCCCAAAGTGCCTCTAACTTACATATACCACGATACAATAACCACACATATTGATGCAATATGTGTATTCTTTGCTAAGTTTTTTAGAGGCAAATTTGTGTATTCCTTGTGCATCCTTGTTATTGCAAAATTAGGGATTATAGTTGTTATTCAATTAGGGCTTGTTTGCATGTGGTTTTGTTTTATGCCTTTGTGTTTTGTCGGTGCTGACTGTAAATTGACTGACCTAAGTGGCGTATTGGTGAGGTGAATGATGTTTGTGACAAGGATGACTTGTGTCAATGACTAAAGTCTACTCGGGTCATCATGTGCTTTGTATGGGCTTCCATGTCTCGTGGTTTTTTTTTTTTTTTTTTTTTCCCTTAAGTCTTGATACATTAACAAAGTTATAATGATACTAATATTGGGAATATTTTAAGACAATATGGATAGTGGTATCGAGCTAATAGCGAGTTGGGTGTATTTTCATTAAGGTACCGTTTGGTACGTGGGACGAGACGGAATAAAGTGGGACAAGGCATTCCGTCCCACGTTTGGTGCGCCTAAAACGGGTGGAACGAGCTGTTCCACGGGACGAGTTTTGGGTGAATTTTTGTTCACCCCTGCAACGACTCATTCCACATCTGTGGAACACAAAATTATAACCTCTCTGTCTCCTTCTTCCTCCTTGTTTCCATCCGAGGGCATCTTTGCTCCCGCTCCGTTCCGTTCCGTCCTATCCCGTCCCGTCTGCATACCAAACGATACCTAAGAGAGCCTCTATCGGTGGCAATTTGCACCCAATCCATTTGCCCAAATCAACCAACTCGATAAAATCAGTTATGTAGTTGGGTCTTAACGGGTCGGATTGATAAGGGTTGAATGCATTAAGGACCCGTCACTTAATGGTTAGTTTCAGGTCGACTCGCGAAACGTTAAATATCCATTAACAATGGTGCTTTCGTAACTTCGTCAAAATGAAAATCCCAATCTTCCTATTTCATTTGCACCGTTGTTTTTGAAATGAAATTTAGTATTGTTGATCCAAGAATAGAAAGAGATTACATTTTCAGAGCAATTACTATTTTTAATTAGTGAGTTTGTGATTGTGGACATTTGTGCTTGTGGAGAGATTTTTCAGTGTGACTGGAATATGGGTGGTACACCACGTGTCATTATATAAATTGTGAAATATATGTGTTAAAAAGTTAATAACTTAAATATTAAATTTTTTTACCACTTATATAAAAATGAGTATTTATCAAATCTAGCAAAAAATTAACCCTTAATTTCAAAAATGTCACTTAAAAAAAAAAAAAATCAAATATATCCAAAATTTCACTTAAATAGACACAAATACCCTCAAATTTAACAATTAAATAAATTAAAGGCTTTTTAGTTACCGTCGTCTCGGTCCAACTTCACCTTGGCTTCTACACTCCACCACCATAACCTTATCCCCTTCGACCCCCTCATCACCGACATTGAGCGCCGCCACGGTTACCGCAAATGAGAGCATCATAATTTCAATCATGCCTTCAACGCCTTTTTTCTTACTAATATCATTTTTAGTTTTACATATAGAAATGGTTTTTAAAGTCAATCCATATGTCGTTATATGATTGTAGTTGTGAGACTCACGTGGCGCCACATCATCACACTAACAGAGCAATTGACAGATTTTTCACAAAAAAACTAAAATGATCACGATGGGCAAATTCAAAGAAATACTAAAATGATTCATGATAGACAAATTCAAGAACACTACTATTGATTATCATTAATTATTAAGGATCAGATTAAGGAGTTATGTCAACGTCACGAACCATATTGGCTAAAAGCCTTTAATTTATTTGATTGTTAAATTTGAGGGTATTTGTGTCTATTTAGGTGGAATTTTGGATATATTTGAAAGATTTTATAAAAAGTGACATTTTTTAAATTAAGGGTTAATTTTTTACTATATTTGATAAATACTTTATAAAAACACATAATGTACTAACTCATATTCCGATCATAATGAAAAATTTCTCATGATTGTGGTCTAGTTTTTGGATGTTTGTCGGTCAGTCCGAACACCACACTATTAACAAAAAGATGAATTATTGTTAAGTTGCTAAACAAAATTAGGTTCACTATCAAATTGCAAATGTTCAAAACATATTTTCATTGTAAAAGATGAGAATTTTGGATAAGGATAAAAAAAATAAAAATAAAAAAAGCATCAAAACTATTTTTCTTCAATTAAATTTAAATTAACTTTATCATTTAATGCTTCGCTTGCGCAATTTGCACTTCTGATTGGTTCCATCCTTGGTACTCCACTTTACTGAAAGCAGCTAGCTAACGTTAGTTGTTATTGCGTCTGATTATCAACGGAATTCAGATGGGGTTGCGGTGGGATGCGACACAATGAATTATGGTTGCCTAGCTTTCTCAAAAACCAACAACACTTGGTGGGGCCAACCAATTGTTTTGGCTGGGCCTTTAACCGAGCCATATATGGCCAGCGCACCGCCTCCTTTGGCTCGAAATCTTTTTACAAGGTTCAATTTAGTCCACTATTGAAGATGAGTTTTTTCGAACAAATGGGCTATAATTAGCCATTTGACTCTTCATTGGAGGAAACCTAAGTAAGAGGTCTTAAGTTTGACTCTAGTATAGAACAAGTTAAATATCAAAGGATAATTTTAGGGAGACCAAATTTCTTTGCAAACCAAATGATGTGTGACCAATAAGAAATAAGCACGTTAATCAACAATTAAATAATAATCCAATCATCCACATCCTCATCGTTTTGGTTTGTAAAATTTGATTTAGAAATTTAATCTTCATAGCATTATTTAATATTAAATTAATGCGGTTGGTTGTCATGTGATTGAACCTAGTAGGCCACCTCTTAGAGCAGTTCCAGCATGTGAAACCTCCCCCCAGGCAATACACTATGCTGTCCACCCAGTAAACAGTGACTGCCCTTAATGAACAGTAATCGCCTTTTGCATCTCCACCGTTGCACTTCAATAGCCCTGGCAATAGGCAATAAAATATTAGTATTTGTTATTTATAAAATAATACAAAATAATTTTAATTGTAATTTCAAATAAGATTTTTAATCGTTCTCGTTGCGCCACATGTCATTATACGAAAAATTATTAAATAATACAAAATAATTTTATTTGTAATTTCGGATAAGATTTTTAATCGTTCTCGTTGTTTACCGTTTCGCATTTTCTGTGATAAGATTTTTGTATTAAAGGAATAACTGGTATCAAACTGGGTTATCCTTGTTTCTGCATCAAATCAATTGAGCACCATATTGCTTTTTCTTTTTTTAGTTTCGAATTTGCCCTTGTTTCGGAAAAAAACTCTTCTTCTCCAAACCTCACGCCAGCCACTTCCACCAAGAAAACCCTCCTGCCATCTCCCCATCTCTCTCTCTCTTTGAATCTTCATGGTGGTGGACAGGTAACATCAGTGCAGGAAGACCTCTCAAAAAGAGAGAGAGGAGATGGGAGAGAAAGAAAATGAGAAGAGGGTCGGTGTTGGTGGCGCCTCCGCCGTGGTAAAACCTGCAGAGGGAGGCTGCGGCGGCGTGAAGTTTTGGGTCGTTGCTTGTGGTTGTTACTGTTACTGCTGCATCGTCGTGATCTGGGTTTGGAGGCCGGACCTCAACGGTTTAATTAAAGAGAGACAAACAACGACATAAAATGTGCAAGGGTAAACACCGAAACATAAAAACTGAAATCACCATGTGTCAGCCCTGCGTCAGGTCCACCTCGAGCTCGCGGGCTGGCGATTCCTCACGGGCCTATTACCCAGGCTTGCCCAGTCCCTGGGGCTCCCAACGCTGGAAGGCTTCAGCCGGGCTATAGAGCCTTGTTTGGTCCACTGTCCCCTGAGCAATCCACAACGGTGGACTTGCTCTTAGTATAAATAACATCATGGTATTGAAAAAAGAAGAAATTTAGTATTGTTTTGGAAAAAAGCAACCTAAAATTTTACATCATCAATTATCGGGCTTTTGACATTGAACTGAGCAGAACCCAACGCTTTAACCGAAGCCCATAGAGCACAGCTTTCGGGCCTACATCCAAAAAAAGCGTCCATATTAAACTCCCAACCCCAGAATATAAAAGCCTTCAATCCATCACTCGCCTCCCAAAACCCTAGAGCGAGCGAGGGAGCACGATATAGCTTCACAAACCTTCGTTCTCTCTCAGTCGCGGCCGCCTCTGCAACCTGAGACCCAAACATGAAGGTTTCTCTCTCTACCCAACTCCCAACCTCCTCCCTCTCTC